ATATATATGCCAATTTTATGGGAATATTCTCATGCAAAAGACAAGAAGTGGCTCTCTCTTAAAATTTGTATATGACTCTAAATTGCAATAAATTTAAGGGAATTGTCTTTCAAGTATAGATGAGTATTGAGAAGTACTGAATGAGAACGCTCAACCATCAGTTGAGGGACCAGTGTGTCTGAGTTCCTCAGTGCTTAGCACACAGTTGGGACTTAATAAATGTTGAATTAATGTATGAGCATGCAAACCAGATTTTTACCCAGAAGCTACCACTTGGTATTTTAAAACTATGTAATTATATTGGGGAGAACTTTAATTCTGTGACATGCTAACTAGCAACCTGGAACTTTGTGAAACTTCTCTCAATAATGAAGTGCCTACAATGCCTAGGAATTAAACTATAGTTTGGGGAACAAAAACTAACTCCCCAAAACTTGACTTGTTGGTCCCCTTGGGTAAACTTCATGCTTTTCTTTTTAAATGCTGTTGTTTTAAAAATACAAAAGTGTTCTGTATTTTTTACAATTCTACCTCATCTACTTACTAGAAGTAACTATGGCTAACTGTTTAATATATATGCTCACTATTCTATACATACATACAATTTACAAGGTGTTTGCAAGCATATCGACTTTTAAAAATGTGAGACGATATATACTTTTATGAATTTTCAAAATTCAGCTGAGTATATAAGATAGACTATCTTCTATCTTAGCACATACAGATTTGCTTCATTTTGCATGGGGTTGGGGGGTGCAAAGTATTCTATAATGGAGATACATCATAAATTAATCATCCATTCCTGCTTGAACTCTTAGATTGTTTCTTAATTTTTGTCATTACAAGCAATGCTACAAGGAACTTTCTTGAACATATACTTACTTGTGTAAGGAAATCCAAGGGAGATATTCTTAGAAGTGAAACTGCTGGCTTGAAAAACTTGTAATTTAAATGTTTTAATAGCTACTGGCAATTTAAAGGATAAGGTTTTTCTTGGGAAATTTATCATACTTAGTAAACCAATGTTACCTCAATTAAAAGAAAAAAAATTATTATACTTAGGTACTGGCAAATAAAGATGTAAAAATACTAATGAGATGAGACAAGGTATATTGTATTCAAACATTCAAATAATGTTTGAATCATTTTCTCGAAGGCATATACAGGATTTTTTTGGAAGGTAATCACAGCTTATGTTGTAAAAATCAATTATTGCATGCAATCAGTTCATTTCTCCCACAAAAACAGCAAAATCCTTCTTGGCTAGTATGTCAGCAGTCCTGCCTTCAATGAACCTTACAAATATCTTATACTTGGAATTCAATCATGTCAGTAGGTTCCATTCTTATTATTTATGATTCCTTTACCCTGTGGGAAAAGCTATGGGCTTCTCTGTATCATTATCTGTGTCATCTTTTATTTGGTCCATATTCCATTAAGTCTGCTTGTTAACGTACATATTGAGTGTTCAAAAATCTGGACAGCTCAGATAATACACCAGGCACGTTTGCCCTCTTCACAAATTTGATCATTTTGCTTCTTTTCACACTATCTTTTTAAAAAATCCTCTCACTTTTCTCAGACAATTCCAGCATCCCAATAGAAAGGAAGTTGAGGTTCTAAGGCCAAATGTGTCACATACTATTTTAAGCTTAATTTATCTACTTTTGGCTAATCATCTGCTTTGGTGAGGTTTTACACTTATTTTCACTGTATACAAGGCAGTTTCCCTTTCTAAATATTTCACAACCCTAATTTTCATAAGCACAAAGGAATAATACCATATCCATTTCATACTTGCCAATTTTATTCCTGACTATTGCTATCTTTATCCAAATAAGATCTGTCAATTCAGATTGTTTTCATACAGGTTCTAAATACCTTATTTGCATGTCATTTATCTAGATATCACAGCCCTGTCTAAAGAGGAAAAAATTGAAGTTCCTCCTACAATATACTCCGTGTATAGAAAAATACAGTCATTTTTCTAAACACGTCTTATACTCTATCTTTGGCAGGATGAACACATCAGAAGAAAACCATATCCTTTTCCATTTTTATTGAAGTATCATTGTTCTATGTCCTTACTAGTGTTTTGATAGGATAGGATTTCTCCACTCATGTGTAGTCACTGTATTAGCTACAATTCTAATGTGCCTTCTAGAGATCTACTCCACCCTTTGTTTCTTATAACATTTTTTCTCTGTTTAATTCTAGGAAGGTTTTCAAAGACACCTTGTACTTGTATCCTTTTATTGTTTTTAAAGATTTATTTATTTATACAGACAGATATGGGGTAAAAGCCAGAGGTATGGGGGGGGAGTGGTATGTGAGAGGATTCACCAGTGATAGAACGGGGAACAGAACAAGCAGATGGATGAAGTACACTGCTGAGGGGAGCAGCAGGTGAGGCAGGAGAGGTCTACTGCACCATGTGCCTCACCTTCCTGGCCGGGAATCTGAACAATGGCTGCCGACAGCTCTATAGTGCTGTGTTTTAACCCATCGTGCCACCAGGGAAGGCTGTATACTTTTATTCTAAAGTCATTTTTTTCCCTAACAAATCTGTGTCCATTCCTCTTGTCAGAAATGTAAACACTGCCAGTTTCCACATGCCAGTCTACTGCACAGCAACACAGCTCTGCTTTATGCAAAACTGTTCAAAGTTTCCTATTAGTCTTCTAGGTTGTCTTTAAAACAGTCTCTACTGCTTAACACTCAACTTCTTTATGCCTCAGTCCTTATCTTAGTTATCTAATTTTCATTTTGATATGGATCTTTGGTTCTACTTGTTTTTTAAGGATTTATTTATATTATTCATATGGAACTGGGGTACAAGCCAGAGATGTGGGGGTGAGAGGATTCACCAGAGATAGAGAGGGGAGCAGAACAGACAGATGGATGAAGTGCACTGCTGAGTGGAGCAGCGGGCGGGTCAGGAGAGGTCTGCCTAGCCATGTGGATCTCCTCCGGGGCAGGCAGGAATCGAACTCATGCAGAAGTGGCTTTAGCTTCTTAGTGCTGCGCTTTAACCCGCTGCGCCACCAGGGAGGGCCCACTTTGGTTCTACTTTTAAGGGAACTGTTTGTTCTGAAATTGTTAAGTATGTCCCTTGCTCCCATCTATAAATCTCCCTTTTTTTTTCTCTTCTTCACATCCTTTTGAAGAGAAAAAAAAAAAAAAAGCATTAAAAAAAAAAAAGCATTTCTCTTTGCTGTAAAAAATTACCCAATGTATCAAAACTTCAAATACTATTAAATATATAAGTTACATATATAGAATCTTGAAGGTCCAAAACATTTCAAATAAGCTTGATAAAATGTTCAAATAGTCCTATTGAAACAGAAGAGAATATGCACTGACATTATACAACTA